ATATTTGAAAAAGACAGCAATAAATCTTCCAGCTGCCATAACTGCTTAAAAAAAAAAAAAAAAAAAAAAAATCAAAGTGGCATTAATGCATCACTGGGAAATATAAAAATCTATTTTTTTAAAAAGCGCCTACAATGCCTATGGACAAGTTCATCCCTGCACACAGCCATGCTTTCAGCTCAAAATTTTTTGACCTCACATTTTTACCAAATATTCATACAGAAAACCAGATGTGAGACTCCATCATCCCCTACATGAAAGTTTGCCAGGCTACTTGCAGTCAATGGTACAGCTACAACTGAGGAGCTCCCAAGCTGCAGTATATGAGTTTACCCCAACACACCATTGAAAGGAAAAAAAATGCATTAAATTGGGATTGAATGACAGGCCCTAACTTACTAAAGATTAAAGAGAGGGCATGGGGAGAGATGGCTTTGGTCTCACTCAAAATATTTTTTTAAAATGGAAAAATTCCTTTTCCTGTAGACAAATGGGTAGCCTGCAGCATCTACAGCTTAAACTATAAAATTAATCAAGTCAAAGTGATGATAGGCTGATAGTGCCATTTGGGGACGACTACTCTTGCTCCTTGATGTTTTCATGGAAATAAAGCCTGTTGGCAAACGCAGCAAATCAAGAAGGAGCAGTCAGTGTAGTGCTTTTTTTGTTCTTGGGTTGAACCAAATCCACTGTCTGTCCACTAGATGGAGGCAACCGATATCCCATGTGTTTGAAGTGTGTTCAAGGGAAGATGACACACAGAGATGGTGAGGTTTGCTGACTTCACAGCAATGAGGACTACCATTCAAGTTTCAAAAATACGGTTCATCAATTACAAACAAGTTTGTGAGCCACTGCAGTTTGTTCCACTGTTGCATGGATAAAAACATTACCTCAGTCTCTTCAACGCTTTTTTTCAGGAGCTCTTCTAAGGCACTGATTTCCTCCGAGCTTCGGCTTTGTAACTGATCATATTTTTCCTGTGCTTCTTTAACTTGTTCTTTTAATACCTGATGCTCTTTTTCCAGGCGTAGAATATCTCCCTGAAAATAAATCAGTTATAAAAAAAAAAAAAAATCTATTATCTGTTACCACAGGGCAGCAAAAATTCACCATGTCTAACAGGAACAGACTCCTGTCAGTTGAGATTCAGAATCTTGAGTGTGGTTGGGGTGGAGTTTTTTGTTTGTTGGTTGTGGGGGGTGTTTAAAAGAAAGTTGTATAACAGTTTCAGTCCAGCTCAGGAAATGAACATTCACATCTGACCATGAACAGAATACAATGAGTTCAAAGGCCACATTTTCTCACTTTTGCCTCCTCGTACAGACATAAAACTACCATTAACCTCAGACTGAGCTGTCTCTGTGCCCAAATGGAGTATTTAAAATCAAACCTCAAGATTTTTGGGGAGGAAATACTAAGTTTCCTCAAAACGTACTCCTGTATCTGAATAGCTACAGAACGAAGCTCTAAAACCTCCTTGTTGTGGGCCTATGCGAAGTTTCCAAGAACATCATCACAGAATACACCCCAACATGAAGTGGGGGGAAAATGCTCACCACTGTCATTTATCACTCAAAAGCTCTCTACTAACTGTTCCATTTTAATTTCTTACCTGAACAGGTATCATCCTTGTATAAGGATTGTTTTTCAGAGGTATACCTCTGCCCTCTTTTTTCATCTTAACAACCTGTATACCACATTCAGCTTCATTTGTACTATTTACAACAGCAAAATTGTCTTCAGAAAATGTGTCATCCGAGTTCTCCAGTTGGCACCAAGAGTCTTCATACGTTTGTACTTCAGTTGGTATAAGACTGCTGAAGACATATTTTCTGTCTGAAATCGCCGATTCATCATTATCCTGATGAGTTACGTGATCAGCATAAATACAACGAGGTTGCTTGGCAACATTTGAAATGAGAGGCATTTCAGAAGGCACTGGCAATAGCCTTTCATACTGATAAGCCCAGGAAGTCTGAGACAAAAATATACCAGGGCTTTTAGAATCAAAGCACTTTAGTAAAATGTCTGAAAACGACGAACCATTTTCTATGGTATCGATATTCTGACTATGCAAAGAACGCACCGATTTACATGAAGTAGGAAAAGACCATGGCAAATGTTGTGGAGTCTTATACTTTGCTACTGTCAAGTCAGTAGATGCTGATATATGGGGTTGCTTAGGATAAGAGAGCGGTTTGAATTCCTTAGCAGCTGGATTTAACTGTAGCTTTTTCTGGGAAGAATTTTCTTGCACATCACAGGCTATATAATTTTCTTCATTATCTCCAGTCTCATGGCTGTTTGTATTTTCTTTAATAAGAACTGCATGCTTTCTTAGGCCAATAAGATTATCCACCATAATGAAACGAAGGGATTTCAGAAGAAAAGATTTCAGACCACCTTCATCTTCTACAATCTTTCGAGCTTCTTCAGGGAAATGTTCATATTCCCCAACTAGTAATTTATTATTAATTTCCATAGGGCCATGTTCCTCCAAGATTTGAGAGAAGTATCTTAAAAAAAAAGTTGTCATTATTAATCAAAGCTTTTTCATGTAATTCTAAAATCGTATTTCACACATCGTATTTTCACAATAATACTTAAAAGCAAAGAACCTCTAGAACTACTGAAGAACAATCATTTGGAAGATGGTGTTTAGCCAAGCATAAAATTTTTCTGTAATACTCTTGCTTGTCCACATTTTACTAAAACCATGCAACTATTTCAAAGCATTACTACATACCTTTATGTATGTACCTACACGTACCAGACCACCACAATTCAAATTCTGGACTTAATACAATATGTTATAAAATTATGAAGTAATATTAAACCCTTTAAACTGCTAAGCATAGAAATGTATACATACTCGTATAAGCTTTCACAAGTTTGATTGGGATTGTTGTCCAAAAATCTTTGATAACTGTTACTATTTGAAACGTCACAGAGAGCTTCAAATTCCTCTAGTTGCCCCCGAAGATATTCTGGGATTACAAATGGTTCATAAGAATTTGTGAAATCACTGTAGCATTAAAAAATAAAAAAAGAAAGAAAGAGAAGAAAGAAAGAAATAGTGCATATGAACAATAACTCTTGTCTGAAAATAATTGCACTTTTCATGTATACTGAAAATGGTATACTGTAACTACACAGTGCTAAAAATATACTCCAATAGCAAACTTTTTTCTAACAAGCGGAACAAACACTATCCCCAAAACACTTAACTGCTAAACTTATTAACCTGTGACTAGCTAATAATGAGGCCTAGCTCTTGCCTAGCAGCTTTCCCATCTGTAAGCAAGAGCAAAACTGGGCTCAGAATACAAAATCTGACTCTTAATTAACACACAAATTCTGAGCAATGCACTACAGATTATCTCAATTCAACACGACAACCTGCTTGACAGCAGGACAGCAAAGTTCAGCTGTGACTGATGGACTATGTACAAATTTGTCAACTCATTTCTTGCTACATTCAAGTGGAACACAAAGCAAGTAAGATCGATTTTGAAAGAATAGCTTTTGGCCTAGAAGATGTACTGGGCTGCGGCCTGGTGACCAGTTGGTTACTTCCTATATTGTTAAGATCTTTAAAAATCTAATACCCCGTATACCTGCCCTGGAAGCAGAGAAGTGATGGCTCCATATGAGCTCATAGCAAAACCACTTAGATGTTAACCCAGACTTGGTGTTTCTAAGACTCTGTCTTCTCCAGTACCTGCAAAGCACTTTGGAGTTTGGGAAATAAAAGCAAAGATGCACAATGGTACTTACAAAGTATTTTCTTCTATAAATATCTTATCTTCTTCTTGTGGTGCTGTACTAACTCCACTGGATAATACTAAAATAGACTAATTAAAAACAGATCATTATTTTTATCTCCCAAAAGTATATGCAAAATGATCCACTGTAAAGACTATGAGTAACTTATTTACACGGAGCTGTGATTTGCAACTTTATCATGTTCAGATGAAGTATTATGAACTGCAAAACTTTTAAGTACAATTATGAATACTAAGCTTTACTGAGAAAGTTCTTAATTTGAAATTATTAATTTCTTCTTCAGAATTTATTTTGGAATAAGAAATTGGGATATTCAGCCCAACTTCCCTTTGTAATTTTTTACTAATTTCATCAAAATCCTAGATGTGCCTGATTTTTCACTGAGTTTGGATGAAAAAAAACCCCAACACTATGGCTTTGCTTCGTTAAAACTTTTGTATAACTGCTTTCCACTGGGCTGCACATCAACTGACTTTCTAGGCTTCTCTTTCTTTACATTTGAGAGCCTTCAAGCTTTAATAATTTTAGTACAAAGTAAGTCTGAGTTATCCCTAGTTCCACATGGTTTTAACATGACACCTGTTATTCTTAAATTCACCGTTACAAATGTTTTAGTTGTCTTTTAATTTTTATTATCTGATAACTTTAGAAATACAGAGACTTGTATGAATGCATCAAAGTCAGAAAAACCTGACTGATGAGAACAAGGGGAAAAAAAAAAATAAATCTTAAGTTTACTCTTGAAATTCTAGTAAAATTATAAAAAGTTGGGGGCATGTAGGAAACAAAGAAGATTGTATCTGAAACTTTCAATAAAGCAAAATCGTAGAAAAGCAGGACAAGAGACAGTGTAATTTTCAGGTAGAATACTATTCCTAGCAAAATCTACAAAATACTGAACAATATTTTTCTGAGCAATAAATGGAGCACTTGCATCTTCAATAACTGATACACCCATAGAAATTATCAGAAGATACAGTTAAAGACATAATTTGAGATCCATTTCATCAGGTGTAAGGGCACATTTTTCTTTCTCAAAATGACTGGTAAAGCGTCCTTCTCCAAATTTGCTATTTGTCAGTGCAAAACAAAATGGAGCATGAAGTATTAATTATATAGTGCAGTCAGTGCACTGTGTTCACAGGTGGGTTTTTTCATTTGCCCGTATGGGAAATTAAGATCAAAACAGTCATTCAGTACGAAGACAGTGGATAGACTAAAGGTATTGGTATCCAGTCAGAGCTAAAAGTAACTTTTTTTCCCCCCAAGTTTAGAAATACCTTTTATACTGACAAATTCATATTTTAAACAAAACAAAACTGTATTAATTGACTCTTAACAGCATTATTCTACTTCAGGAAAAACTACTTCATTAATGAGTCTCCACAAGGTATTTAGGAAAATAGCCTCTATACATCTGAACTCCAGCAATTCTAAAAACAACTTTGTAATAAGCAGCTAAAAAGTTACTGACCCTCAAGTCTTTTGAGTTCTTCTTCCTGTTTTTGTTTTTAACTTTGATACCATTAGTCTGAAACAGAAAAAATAAAATCACTGGGGATTTTTGTTAGAATAAAAGTAGGATGCATTTCCAAAACCAGTATGCAAATTTTAAGAAGTTTCATATTAAAATTCTCATTCTGGTTTGACCAGCAAGATTTACAAGGTAAGCATGCAATCTTCCCTCTCTCCACTCCATCCCCAGCTGGAAAACACAAAAAGAAACAGAGCTTTGCAAGACTATCCACTTTGTTCCTTTTCATCATTTTCCTCTTTAAATGCATAGAACATCAATTTTTAAAATCAGAATATTCTACCATTTTAGTATTTCAGATGCTTACTCATTACTGATAGCTGAAATTGCATATTTAAGCAGCTGTGACATCCCACACAACACAGTTTCATGTGGGAACAAGAAGGAAACAGAACTGTCAAATGTTCTGGGCACTTTGATTTTCTAAGATATGCAATGATGAAGGAACTAAAATGCATCTTCACTTTTTAATAGACTGTGATTAACATAACTCTACTAACAGTTTACTTTAGGATACAAGTAACATTGAAATAGAAGTAGTTTTATTCTAATGGCTTTCATTTCATTCTTGGATTTTCAATTCATGACATGAAAATGCAAAGGATTTCACATCTTATTGAGTTATATTTTAATTAACTGTAAATATTTATTCTGTATCAAAAGTAAATCTTGGTTTTGTACAGATAAATTTATCTTCAGGCTAGAATTATTATTATAAATAAAAGTGCCTCAAACACATAACTAACCGAAATATGTAATATACTTCTGCCAGTTAGAATGGATTTTAATTAAGATATGAATCAAGAAGTGATTCACAATGATGTACAGTTTAAGACCGTTGGGTCTTAATGGGTTGAATTTGAAAAGCATCTATAAATTGTAATGAACAATTGCAAAAATATGTCTAACACCTCAAATTTGCTTTGCTTATTAGCAGAACAAACATCAAATTCTTAGCCTTACAATTTAATGACATCTGAAGGTGAAGATCGGTTACACTACCTGTCCATTTGTTGCTTTGGATTGTAAAACGTACAGTACAATTAGTATCCAAGATTGTGCAGATTCAAGTTAACCACACTCAGAGAAGAATCACGCTTCAAGTTCTGTTGTCATGGTAAATATGCAGATACGGCAGTTCGTAAGAGTCTCTCTGTAAGTCGTGCACTTTTTTTTTTTTAATTCCCCAATGATACTTTTAAAGAGACTTTTTTTTTTAAAAAAAAGTGAACACTGAACTGCTGTTAGTAATAGTATGTAAGTGTTATTCCCATGCACCTTATTTGCCTTATTTTCCCTATCCAAAGGGGGTGATAACAGCGCATCAGTGTACCCTCATCCACTTTTGCTACAACTTCCTCATCTCCATCCTTGAAACGCTCATAATCCAGAAGGTAACTTGTTAGTTTGTGTTTTAACTAAAGAGAAAACCCTAAACAAGAATTTTATTGACAGATATTTAGGAAAAATGGTACACAGTCTTCAAATGCTTTAAGAAAAGCAGGGGTGGGAGGAGAAGATAAAATAAAAGAGTAAATCTCTCATCGGTTCTGAAGGATGATGTAAAATAAACCAAGAGATGTACGTCTCTATTCACTTTTGCACAGTTTTAAAACACCACACTTGTACTTGTTTCTGAGCTTATACCAAATAGACACCAAGTTCACTTACCGATATATTTTCATTTCCCTGCTTCTTTAATATAATGGTAGGGTCATCTATTGAAAGGATAAAGTCACATTCATAAACAAAAATAGCAATATTTTATGTAACTTATAATTGTGAGCTACGAAATTATAGTAATAATTATTATAATCCTTTCCTCAACACCACCAAAGCATCTCAAAGACTGTAGTTGCAGAATCTTTACACTTAAACTGAAAGATAAATACTTATTTTGGTTGGACATCATATACGCATATAGTTAAACTCACGTGCTGGTTGTGGCACGTGAAACAAAAGAGCAGAATGCAGCCTAAAAAGGGGGTGCCTTGCCTTTTGAGGCCACATTGCCTTTTAAGCACCAAACACACAGGTGTCCGTATGACAAGGAGGTTAGTAGTCTGCTGAGGTTTCAGCCTTTTACAGAGCCCATTAATTGTGGTGTAAAAACAGACAAAATACACCGCTTGTAAGAACAATGACCTTTGCATACTTACCCATTTTATCAAAGAATTCATCTAAAGCTTGATGAAGAAATGGAAAATTGTCTCTGTTGTCCTCTAACAGCCATATAAAACAACGAGTTTTCTCTAGGGGTGGTTTTAAGAAATAATCATGAATTTCTTTGTCTTCAAAACAAGTTGTCACATAGTCAAATTTACTACCATACTTCTCATTCCAGAGTGTGGTTAAAATAGAAAGGTCAAGCTCTTTTAAAAGTTGTCCATATTGAAGGAGAAAGTTCTCCGTAGCTGTCAGACCTAAGACAGATAAAAAACCCCAACATTTCATTCCGGCTTCAGAGTTTTAATGCTTACAGTGTGATAATTCCTCTTCAAAGAGGAACAGTTTGTTCTAGAAACTAAATACACAGTAGCTGAAACAGATTATGTAAAATGTTTTGTATCCTGAAAATGCAAACACAAATGATAAATGGAGTTTATACAAAATTTTACTCTTAGTCAACACCATATTATTACTTGTATAATAAAGCTATATAAATTCCTTAAAGGACATGGACACAACAGAATAGAATTAAGAACCCAAATCCAAGGTTTTGGCATCTTATGTCCATTTTGCCTGCAAAACCAAACTTCTACCTTCACGCCATTATAAATTCAATAGGAAACTACACAGCAAGGCAACACTACCAGAGCACCGAGTTAAATTACTTCAAAGTTATACAGTCAGCTAAACTTTTATGACAAAACCCCCACCATTATTTACTTTCCAGAAACAAATTATTTATATAAATATTATCATCTAAGCCTATTCTGGAATTTAAAGACATTAAAAAACCACAATCTGTTCAATTTTCTCTTCCCT